CTCTCTCTCTCTCACACACACACACACACACACACACACTTTCTCTCTCACACACATACACACAGAGACGCACAGAGAGAGTGAGGAGAGATGAGCACACTTTGCAGGGAAGGGACTTGGAATAGAAGTGAGGAGAAGACTGAGACACACCAAATTTACCAAACGGTCCCTGTCAATGGTGTCAGACGGCAGGGAACTTTCATTGTTTCTTTTTATTTTGTTCATTTTTGGGTTTATTGTGGTTCGTTGCAACTGACGAACAAGTCGGCTAAGAGGACATAAATGCCCTTTAATGTGATTGTACTCGGGAGTTTGTTTAACTGCGAGACTGAATAATCTCAATGTAGAAAGAAAGTTATTGTAATAGTTTTATGAAGCAACTTATTTAGATTATTATTAGGTGGAACGGTAAAATTGATGATGGGGGAAAAAAAAAATGTAGTTTTGATACTTTAAATTTACCCATCTTTCGATTTTTAGTAGTTCAATCTGTAAATTGTGTTTGGTATTTTTGATTGTTGATTGAGGTTCAATCTTTTGTAGCCGGAGATATACATGTAATTTAGTAATGTGTAGATAATCTACGCTTAAAAAATACAACGGAATCATCCTGTAACAGGATGGTAGCATTCTCCAATTTTATTAACCGTCTTTTCAAATTTTGATTCTTCAATCCGGTAATTAAATTTAGTATTTTTTTTATGAGGTTTTGATATATAAATTTAATCATCAAATGTTTTTTAAAAAATGTTTTTGGAATAACTCAATGGTATTCCTAATGTTCAATTAGAACCTCAAAAATAATATTAGTACACCAAATTAAAATAATTGAAATAAATCTCAAAAATACCAAAAGCAAGAAGAAGTAGCTAAATTCTAGCCACCCAATTTTTTATTTTTTTTTATTGCATAATGTTAGGTTTTTTTGGTTGGGTGGTATATATTATATACAACAAATAAATGAAAAATTGCGTGCATATATATATATATATATATATATATAATGTTAAAGTGGTAATATTTGGAGCTACTTGTGGTTGACAAAGTAACTACCACTTTATCCTATAAAGTTTAACTTACAATTTATATAGAGAATGTTTGCAAATTGGAGATGTTTTGGAATCCATATAGTACACCGAATAAATAAAATCTGTTGTAGATAGATTTGCACGTAAGAATTACTTGGAGCTTTAGAAGCCAACCAAATTCTACTTTTGTTGGTGTGAAGAATGTTGTGTAGTAACCTTTAACAAGGTTGCAATACAAAAGGAAGCTTCAAGGCAATAAAGTTAGTTCTTTAGGATTCTCCATAATTATTATTAATCCATTTTGCTAGATTAGTTTATCGACTGACTTATCGAATCATGTATCGACTACTGAATCATAGAAATTCTTTAGACTAAATGAATGCCTCCTTTTAAAAATCATCCGTGAATTGATATATCTCAATTAGATGTGCCATCAGATGGCTTTATAGCAAAACTGATTAAATCATGTGTCGGCAAAGATCTCGATTGATTGTTGATATTGGTAGTATTGTAATGTAAAGAATATTAATGAATGTTTGTCATGTGTGTATTTGTTAATCTAACTTGCAAATCATTGTTACAATGTCGCATGACTCTAATTATAAATTACTCAATATTTTCTTTTTTTAACTCTCATCATAATATATTGTAAGAAATAAAAAAAAAAAAAAAAGTAAAAATACAGTCATATAAAGCTATAACAAAAGTCATCGACGGAGGCTTAATTGCTTGATTATGATATAAGCTCATCTAATAATTACCCATCAAGAAGGAGAGTCATGCTTTTTAGAAAAAAAAAAAAAAAANNNAAAAAAAAAAAAAAAATATATATATATATATATATATAATAATTTTTTTTGTTTTTATAAATTTAATATATATATATAATTAAAAATATATATATAAATTAAAAATATAAATTAAAAATATATAATTTTAAAAATATAAATTAAAAATTAAAAATATAAATATAATTTATAAAAATATATTAAATATATAAATTAAATATGTATATAAAATTAAATATATATATATAATTTGTTTGTTAATATAAATTAAAAATAAATTAATATATTTTTTAAATTTTTTTTAATATATATAAAATAATTTTTAGTTACTATATATTAAAAAATTAACTTATTTATCAATTATATAAATATATATAGAAAACCTAGTATATATGCTATGTTTTCAAAATTTATTACAATATATGATGGTTAAATCGTAATAGTGACGAATGTTATTTTTTTAAATATAAACAATAATATATGTTTTTTCTTATAATATATTTAAAACTTGAAAAAAAAAATTATTTTTCCATTTTTAACATGTAAGCATATACTTTTTAATTAAATAAATTCGTGGAAGATAACAATTTATTTAATTCCCTCTTATTGTGGAACCCATCTTTTCTTGACGCTGTCAAGACGTCAAAAAAATACAGCAATCAAATTCAAGTATTAAACTAGACGCGTCGTGATAACGCCGTCAAGTTTCAATAGCATCTCCATCAAATTGTAATTTTTAGATAATCAGATACAAAAATAAAAATAAAAATAAATAAATAAAGAGTAAAATAATAAAAATTAAAATGAATAATACAATAATCTTGCTATGAAACCAACAGTTGACTCTACTTCATAGTAGAGTCAACCTTCTATATATAACAAGTAAACTTACTATATACAACAAGTAAACTTATCATATTAATTATATTAGCGTTATTTAAGTAATTAGTGAATATGATAGGTTTACTTGTTATATATAAAAAGTTGACTCCAAACTCCAGCTCCACTATAGAGCCAATTCAATTGTTGGCTTCATAGCAAAACCGAGAATGCAAAGCAGGGACGGCATCTAATGCATGCGGGACGGCACGTGACTGGGCCTTGAAGTGGGGACGGGGCACATGACAGAATCTACTTGGAAATGGGGCAGCGCAATAATAGGCTGCTGCTTACGTAACTTCTTGTTTAATGATCAAGGAACAAGCGCCCATTCTCTGGCACGTGGTTGCTAACTCATCACTCATCTCTCCAGCAACAGCCTGACACGTGCCATTATTCCTCATGGGGCCATACTTGTCTTTTCGCTGTCCTCCGCAATTTATTATTTATCGAATTTTACTAGTCAAAATAAATAAGTCAATGAACTTGCTTTTAATTAAGGCCAATCAAAAACTATTGTATTTGATACAAGTAAAATGAATAGATGTCTATGTGAAAATGCTACGATTTTGTTACGGAATCGTTCCGTCGGGTTTGTAATCGTTAGATCATTATATAATCGTCGAGAATAGTTGATTTAACGGTTACAAATTTACGATAGAATATCATCTCTCGATGTCTATAATCCACTAGAGTTAAATTTAGGTGATTATAACCACTCTATATAATTTTAATATCACACGCACGCAGGCCTTTTAAAGGTAGTAGTTAACCAAATCATTTATATCATTACACCAAATAATTATGCAAATAAGTGTTCCACGTCACACCAAGAAAACTCAACTGAGAAAGCGGATAAAACCAAATTCATGATCAATTACACAAAATCAATTGTAAGTGTTTGGTTAACATTACAAAATCATTTGTATAATTTTATTTAGTTACATTATAAATTTATAAGTTTGCCATTTATAAAAAAAAAAAAATAATTTAGATTATTGTATTATAATTAATATTTTACCCTTTTGATATCATATCAACTTTAATAATTATATTTTTTTTATTTTATATTCACAAACAATCTCAAATTTATCCACATTGTCATCTCATTTGAATGAGATAAAACTTAAAAAAAAAAAATCTTATATCCAATCACACTACTTACATATCAACTATCAGTTTAAAATTATTTTATTAAATATAAGTTAGCTTATCAACTAGGTATCAACTAACTTTTCAACTTACTTTTAACAATCATACAATAAAAAAATTGTATCTCCAACAATTCATGTGAGTTGTAGAAGATCAATATGATACATGTACATAATTGATTTATTGAAATATATATAAAGAAAAAATTACAGACAACAAAATAATAATAATAATAATAATAATAATAATAATAATAATAATAATAATAATAAAATATATGTGGAAATCTTTCTACACGCATTCATCCAATTGAAGAAGTTGTAAATATCTCTAGACAATTTGAGGTTTGATTTTAAGCTACAAGTTTCATATTAATTTGTAAGGGCATTTTTTCAATTAATTAGGTATGAGATTTTTTTTTTTTATTTTTTATTTATTTTTTATTTTTTATTTTTTTTGGAACTCATTCATATCATGTCACATCCAGTTTAGCTGATCCAACTAGATAAAATTACAAATTGCTGACAGGTAATGTAACTCAATACAGGTAGAGATTAGGTTTCAAAGAGTCCAACATGGTACAAAATGACAAAACATCTTAAAATACCAACAGAGTTGGTTTAAGTGATAAACAATTTGATCCCACTTAAGTAAGTCTCAGATTCGAGTCCTTGTGGATGCAGAAAACTCTTGTTGGGAGACTCGCCTACCGCTGCCAGGTGTGCAAACCCGAGTCGACTAACAGATTAGTCGGGACATAGCTCCGGATACCGTTGTTGGCTA